GAAAGTCATCGATATTTTGAAAAATTTGTTGAAAAACATTTCATTAAATATATCTAAAAATATAACGTCATCAAATGATTACCAAAAAAAATCCATAGTATCTTTTCTTATATAATTTAAATTATTTCAAATAAACCGCACTACGTGAGGTAATAAGTTACGCCAATATTCTGGACTGTTTAAAACCGTACTAATCGAGGAATTAAATATATTCAAAAATAAACCGCACAAAAAGAGACTTCACTCTATAAAAAGAGAACGATAATTTATGAGTAAAAAAATTAGTCTACTAATTTTTTACAAATTATTTTGCTCATTAAAAAAATAGTTTCTATTGAAATTTTCAATCCGGACTATACTAAATACGAACTGATGAAAATCCACACTATACATTGTTGTATTTGATTTTGATTGATACAATTGTTTAAAGATTGTTTTACGCAATTTATTTAAACACATATTTATATTATTATTTTATTTACTGTTCAGATGTAGCAATTTAAGTTATCCACAGTATAAGTGTTCAATATATTGCTGTAAACAACATTTGCTGTAAAATTAGCATTGAATCATAACCGAATGCAATTGCATTACAGCATCTCCGATAAAAGCATAACCTATACAAATTTAGTTATAAAAAGAAATGACTGAGAAAATAAATTTTGAAATATAAATAAATGCGTCCAAAACATAAAAATAATAATTTACTTATTGTATGCACTTGATATCAAAATTCCTTTAATAATACATGAAGAAATTCTAAATTACTTTCTGTAATTCTCATTTTCAATTATTTTAGATTATAGTCATATTCCGCGGAAAGTGAAAAATTGGAATGAAATAATTACTAAATAAATATTGAATGTTTTTTACAAGGTGTTCCGTGAAAATTTCAGAATATACGAAGTGTTCCGTTCCGTATTCACATCATAATTTAGAAATTATTATTAAACTACACATTCTGCAAAGCGCGTTGATATCAGAAAATTAGTTACTAATATATAAAGTTATAATACATCTATTTGCGTTTTTCGTATCAAACATAGAAATAATTCAGTCAGTAATGAAAAAAAGTTAAAGATTGTATTAATATATTACAGGAAATTACATTAAGAAACATTTTTTGAAATTACATAATAACTATGATTTGCCTATTTTTTTTATTGTAAAATTATAAAAGTGGTTTTTAAATGTAAACTTAAATTTTTGTAAAGAATTAAAAAAAAAACTTTTTTGAAAATACCTGAATTAAAAAAACGGTCTATATATTACATATAAGTTTATCTGTGAAACATAAATAAAAATTTAATTAATGAATGATTAAATTTTTTTTTTAAATGAATGTGAAAAACGCTTTAAATTATTTGCATTTACTTTTTTAAATTATTAACTTAAAACAACCATAAAAACTATATGTAATTATTGTGTAATGTGTAATTATTGTTATTGAAAGACTCGGTAGTGTATATTCATTAGCTAAATATAGAAATGCAACCTACATGCAATAAAAAAAAGCTCTAATCAAATCCAATTGGTATTTCCAAATGACGAATTACAAAAGTGCGATGTATTCGAAGCACATACATCTCCTAAACCTGCTGGTGAAATTGATTGATGTAGGTCGTCGGACGCAATTGATTTAGATCATTGTTTTCGAATGGAAGAAAGCACACAGCCACACGTTCAAACGAAACCGATGCCAAGTTTTAAAATCGTCCGAGACGACATTTCGCTTTAAATTGAACCCGAACGAGACACACGGAGCATTTTACAATAAAAAAATTGAAATAAAAGCAACAGAAGAATCAAAACGGAACGACAAACACAAACAGATACGACCTGTCGAGCTCAATTTCGCTAAGTGCAATAAGACCTGGTTTGTATTTCGATCCTAGGAAGCCTTTTCGAATCACAACAGAAGGGAAACAACGCGTTCGGTGCATGAGCGCGAGACTCTTTCTTCATCAGAGATGATGATGATGATGATGACGGTAATGATGATCATCAGGGGCGTCTTTCAAAAGGAATTCGAAAGCGTTTCCGACACGCGGGGACTTCTTTCCTTCTCTCGTTGCGATTTCGGGAAAGTCGATGCAATTTGCATTGGAAATCGCGATCGAAACCTGAATGTAAATTTAGTTTTTTTTTGTTCGTTTCGGTGGCCTTTTCGAAATGCACATCAACCTTGACTCAATTAAACGTCATCGAGCGGCTATAAGCTCGGAACACCTGCCACCGATGCCCAAAGGCGTGGAATGCGAAGGGTCCTTCCCCTTTGTTGTGAACCCTTCCACAGCCTCCGTGGCTTTTCTCCTCTCGAGCGACGTTTAAGAGTTCTAATACGAATGATGCATCTAAATTTGATTCCTATCCCATTTAAATTCTATTTAATTTCCTTATACGAAATAAGTTAATTAACAGTTTTTTTGCAATAAAGTATTCAAACTCATGCCGAAGATAAAAATTCAATATTTAATTATTTGATTCATGTTACATTAATACTAATAATTTGTAATTATCTTAAGATTCTGATTTTCTTCTTGAGAAAAATGTGTAAATCGAAATTGTAATTTTTTAATGAAAAATTGTGTAAAAGCAAAAACGTGTAAAGAAAGTATGGTGTAAATTCAGGGATATGTGTTTAATTTCACCATGTTTTAATAGATTTAATATGAATTTCTATCCCATTTAAGTTAGCTTAAATTTATTTTCTAAAATATAAAGAAAAATTAATTTTTTCATTCTTATTTGAAGTCTATACAGGAATATAATATAGATGTTGTTAAATTTTAATTTATTTTGAAGAACTAATGATTTCACACAAATAATAACTAATGAAATATAAGTGTCGTAGCTTTACTTTCAACCAATGATGCAGCCAAATTCCTATTCAATTTAAACTAACTGGATTATTTTTTTTACTATTTTACAAAATAATTTACAAAACAAATCAAACGTATTGCAAAGATAAAAATAGAGTAATTCATTATTTGATTCTTATTTTAAGTCTCTACGGAATCAGAAATAAAATCATAGATATTAAATTATTTTATAAAACAGAAAATACATGCACATTCCAAATTCATATTAATTCCCTTGTTAAAGTTAAAATTTACAAAATAATAAGATTTAATTAAATTTAGTTTTAAGAATAAGGAATGGTCAGTAACAGTACTTGTTACTGTTTCAAAAAATATTAAAAATCAAATTTTCTTAATTTATTTTAAACAGTTTAGAAACTAAATCAAAGTTCGTTTTCTTGTGCTATAGAATGATTATCTTTTAAGTTATTTTTTAGTTAAATTTATATTTATTTGTTGGAAGATTTCCGATGGGAAACGTTTTTATTTTATTTTTTTTGTCTTATGGTCAAAAACATTCCACTTATTGCCAAAAATTGGAAAAAACATAATTACTAGCATAATTTTTGTTTGCTTTTAATAATTTCAACATGTAAGTTATTTCCAAGTGAGTAATACATTTATGATTAATTTTTACTATTTTTATTGACTCAATTTGTGACATGAATATATTTAATTTGAATTCTATTTAATTAAGTTAAGTAAAACATAAATAATAAATTAAATTTTTGTTACATTTGGTTAACATCTCAGAAATTTTCAAGTGTTCTTTTCTTTCATTTTATTTATGCATTTATTGCCAAATATGTTAATTTTTACCCAATAACACGATTTTTTATATAAAAAAAGTTCATTAACAAAAATAAACAAAACGATAAAAAAATAGTAGAGTATATCAAAGTTTAATCAATATTTAAGATATTTTACGCAATGTCTAATAAGAAAAAAAACAGGGAAGACCAACAATACAATTTAGTTTCATTTTGTATGTTGTTTTGTTTAAATTGTATTATTTAAGTTAGTTGAAATAAATATTATTATTATTTCAGAAAATACTAAATGAAATTATATAATCTAAAGTAACATTTTCAAAAAATTTCAAGAAATACAACTAAAATTGATTGACTAATACTATAATTGAATAAGTAACTTATAAACAGTAAGTTCAAAAACTATTAAATGTGATTTTCATTTAATACAAATTTAATTGATTCATAAAAAATTATTCAATCAGTTTTATTATACCATATTTTGTTCATAAAATGTAATAAAAAAAGTTAATTAAATAAAAAATTGAATGTAATTATTTTTGTAACTTAATAAAAAAATAATTTACTGTTATTTAATTACAATTAAAAAAATGTTAGAAGAGAATTAACGTAAGTAGGAAACAAACTAATGCCAATCATTTTGATTCTAACTGTTAATTATTTATATAATTTAAGGACAAAATCTAATTTATTTAAAATGCCTTCAATAATCGTTTTAGACCTTTCCTTTGACTCTAATTATACTCAGTTACTCAACATTTGTTTCTAATGAATTAAATGACAAAATGACAAACATTCTTCAATCATACTCTCAAGTATTCCTTTATTAAAATTCCTTCTAGTTCATTGAATTATATAATATATTTCATATATTTTTTATTCGGATTAAATCAGAAACTAGTAATTTAATAATATAAATAATTCTCATTTTAAATGAATATTTAAAGTTCTTCATAATAAAAATAATAACGATTTCTGTTTATTTCGTTTCATCATCAACCGTACTGTGGTTTATTCGAATGATTCACCTTCTTTTATAATCTTTAACATTTTAAACTCGTTTCTTTGTACGATTTCCCAAGTTATTTAATAATCTTATATGGAAACAGTTAATCAGAAGATAAAGCTGCAACAAGGCAATTAATCTTTTCTTAGCTTAATACTAAGAATTATCCATAACTTTCAGTTAAATTAAAGAAAGGTTTCAACTTATTACGAAACAAGTAAATGCATTTTTCACCTCAAGATTATTCGAAATGTATAAATAGTGATGCGAAATGCTTGTTTCTTCTAAAAGAAGATAACCGAAATCGGCAACTTTTTATCAGTCACTCTTCTTATCAGCCTTCCAAGAAGAACATAAACTTACTTTCTTCGTTGGTGATCTGCGTTAAATCTCTGTCTTTCTCCGTTCAGGAAAAAACGAAATATGTAAAGTAACTTATAAAACACGAGCACTGAACTAACTTTTATTTTTTTTCAGTTTTCTGAAACTTGTTTTTTTTTTGTTGTTGTTATTACTTTGTCGATGATCCTTTAAACGAAAGTCGAGATAAATTCGATACCGACGAACCGCGTACCGACAAAGTCGACGGAATACTGGCTTCGGTTTGTTTTGCTTCCACTTGGTTGGTTGTAGTCTTTAGAGAAGGGATGACGTGCAACGTCCGAGGATACCTGTTGCGTCGTCTCAAGGGTGGAAGAACCGTGGGCAACATTATTATCCTCCCTTTTTTTTTCTTTCATTTAGGTAACAGGAAACCCTTGTAAGAAAGAAACCCCGAAAAGGGAATTACTTCTTCGTTTCGATTGGATCGTTCTCTTTAGCTATGCAACCAAATGCACGCAGTTTGCACCAATGACATTCAAATTGTTCGAACAAACACACAAAAAAAGAAAGAAGAAATAATGCATATGGTATTTGCGACAGGTCGCATGAACTTTTACATTGCAGCCGGTAATTTTCCAATCGTAAACTTTCAAGTACGTTGTTTCTGCATCGTAAATTACTTAGCAAAGGAAATTGTATGTGTCTCTATATTATTATTTAATGGACATTTTCATATTTCATTTATAATTAACTCGTGTGCACCTTCCTTTTCTTTCCAATTACTTGTTTCGTATTAAGAATAATTTACAATGTGAGAATTTTCTAATTGCCTCATATTAATTGACCTTCGACATTTTCTCCTTTATTTTATAAAAGTTTATATAATAATTTTAAATTATACTTTTTTTAGAAACTAACCAATGACAATTATAATATAATCGTATAAATTCTTTATTTTAGGTATTCAGTAGAAGAATGTTGATTTGCAATAATATTTATCGGTGTAAATAAACTTTTTATTAAAGGTCAAATTTTACCTTTATTATTTAACCAAACATTTCATTCTATTGAATACAATAATTAATAAATTTATGTAAGCAGTACAGAAAAAAAATCAAATATTAGAATTTGCTAATTATATGATAATTATTTTATTGAAGGTCAAACTTTACTTTTATCATTAAGCAAACATTTTGTTCTTTTGAGTACAATCATTATCAAATTTATGAAAGCAGTTCAGGAAAGATACAAAAATTAGTATTTGCTAATTACATTATATTATATGATAATTATCATTTGATCAATTGAAGAAGAATGTTGAATGTTGCAATCATATTTTGATTTTTTATAATATTAAATTGTTTTATTAATTACAAATAGAGATACACAAATAGGAATACCTCGCAAAGTGCGGTTCCACCAATATCCCGCACTATAATTAGCTGGTTTTTGAAATATTAACCTTATTTGGACAGACCTATGGTCAATAGCACTTATAGCAGTTGTCTTTATAGTGAATCCGGTACTAATCGAATCCGCGCTATGACAGATTTTGATGTGTTAGTTAATCTGATTTTAAAACCAGGTTTCTTAAAACTAGATTTGATATAATTTGAAAAATAAATTTATTCAAGAAAAAAAAAACCGGTTTTATAACCTATACTTTAAATATAAAAATAAATTAATTATTTTGACAAAAAATCTTCTTTACATAAAATATTGTTAAATACTAAGTTTCATGAAACAAACGGTAAATCAGGAAAGAACAATAACTTTAAAAAATGATATGGAACAATGTATACATAATTATCTTCAATAAACTAAAGAAGTGCCCTAAAACACTAAAAAAATAGTTTTATAGCATTAGGCTATAAACAGAAAAATGAAAATTTTTATATGCAAAACAAGATCTGCAGATGTTCTTTCCTTCTTAACATCATTTTCTTAGAAAAAGAAGGAATAAATTAATATTTTATTCATTTTTTTTCATATACTCCATATACTTATTTTGTTATAGTTTTATGTAACACTATCGATTATTTACGTTTTATTTTTTTAAATATGTAAAAATCTTATATAAATTCTTTCTCTTTATATTTTGTAGAATACCGATTTTTTAAATACCGGTTTTTGTATAAACCCTAGTGTTAACATAAGTTATGTCCGTCTTTCCAAATTAAGAGGATGAAGGGACACAATAACAGAAAATTACAACAAATACATACTACATTAGTGACTCGAATGTATTCTCCTTTATTATGCAGAACTTCTTCCCAACGTAAAAAAAAAAGTTAATAATTTTAAAACCATCGACGAGCTGTCCTTTCATTCATAGCATCTTCGCCGTACACTACGTAAAATATCGCGAACAGATTAAGAGGCTGTCGAAAGTTCTCACTTCCATTTTGATACACGCCTTCAAAAAAATAATGGTTGTAACATAAAAGCAAACACAATATCTTATATTTACTTTTGCCGCGCATTTTTTAATTAAAAAAAAACGGACAGCACTGATGTTAACACCTAATATAGTATTTACTAATTCAGAAAATAATAATTTTTACATTATTCATTAATTAAATCTTAAAAATAAATTTGATAACGTTTATAATAACAGTTAAATACGAAACTATTTGTTTATATAATATTGTTGATTGCTTCCTCAATTAAGCATTCTTAATCTTAATTTAAAGTTCTTACTTTCTTGATTTGTATATTGCTATTTCCAGGTTAATATTCTTGTGCATTTCTGGTTATTCAACATTTGTCATTATACCGTTATAATTTTATTATCGTGATCGTTGCAAACAGCAATTTGGTTTACTTAACTGTGATATGGAGCATTTTTTAACCATTCCTAGATAAAATCAAGGTTTTCGCTTGAAAGAGTTGCAAAGAAAATGACAGACGTTCTAATAATTATTACAACCTCACAGAAATAAAATAATTGATAATTTCACTTCTTTATCAAATTTATACGAATATTAATAATAATTTATTGGCCAGATAATAACAAAAAAGTATATAAAAATAATTTGTAATTACAGATACATAAGATTTTTCCATTGATTTGAAAATTACAAAAGTATCGTTACTAAAACCACAGTAACTTGTGAACTAAACGTCAGATTGCCATGAAATTATGACAGGTATCGTCTGAAGGTTGGTACTTCCTAAAAATCATTTGTCGATAGAGGCGCCATATATATGTTACTTAACACACATCATTTTTGTTCAGCTAGCATATGAGCACATTCCATAACAAATAAGCTTTTTTTATTCTATCTTGTAAACATCATGTATATATTTTGTATTTTCTAAATACAAAATATATGCTAAATGAGCGACAAGCTCACATACACGTCACCCCTTAACAATTACCATTCTCTGTATTGCATATTTACACAATGAAATCAATCAGCTTATTGAGTAAGGTGTTATGAAACAGATATACAAGAAAATGGAACTTCGCTTAACGAGTTTAATCCGTTCAAAAATTTCCGGATTTTTACTTGTTTAGTGAAATACTTGCATAGTGAAACATCCGGGACTTCTCTTTTCATCATCACTCGTTATGCGAAACGTCGTTCGTTAAGCGAGTCATTTTTCTTACAATTAATTTAGCTTGTTAAGCGAAATGCTCGTTAAGCGAGGTTCCACTGTATATTTATATAATCATAATAAAGAGTATCCGTCTTATATTTATTATCTTATTTTTTTTTGTATTTTTTTTTTAATTTAATCTAATAATTTAGATTTTCTTTACAGTACATTTAATGTATTTCTTCTTGCTGTATTGATATTTGATTTATTTATATAAATTCTAAGAAATCCAATACTTTTCAATTCAAATATCTACTTAAAATAAACATGAAGAAAACGAAAAAAGTATTTTTAACATAAGTTATATGGAACTATGAAGAACATATCGACTATTGACTTATTGTCAAAGTTCCCAATGGGTGAGTATTGCATTATTGAAAACATTGAGAGCGTGAACGGAGAAAAGATCTTAAATAATTCATGAAATGGTAGGGCTAAAGTTATCCAAACTAAAAAAAGAATAAAAGATGAGACTTAGTATGTAGTAGATTTCAGAGCTTTGAGTGAAATATAAAAAAAAACATATGAAGTGTGTTATAAATAAACAATTTTTAGATTAGAAGAATTGTTAATTTTTATAAATATTTTTGGATAAATTATCATAAAATTTTCTATTACAAATAGTTCTTATATTACGATATAATTCTATTTTTATGACTGCACTCAGTTTGTTTTTAATTTGAAAAATCTATACGCAAATTTCATTTTATCCTGTTGCCATAATATTTGATCTTATTACTGTAATATAGTAAGAAACATATTTTTGAAGAAGTCATAAAATAAGATCTGTTAGAAATACAAGAGCAGGTGAAAGTTGCAGTGAAAGTAGATATTCCAACTGAAACTATCCACGGCGAAAATCGATGTGTTTTCGACATGGAAATAGAAATGTATAGAATTCGTGGTTTAAACTTTGAAAAAATTAACAAAGTTCATACATATTTCAAAACTTCTTAATCTGTTAAACTGCAGAGTATTTAAATTATATTATTAATGTAAACAAGAGAAATATATTATACTATTACAAAATACCTCGTATAGTGCGGATTCACTATAGTCAAAAACAAACAAAATTTGAATCGATCAAAATAAATATAAATTCTCGAAAGTTAGTACGCAAAATTATTATTTTTGTACATCAGATCTTTTTTTTTGCGGTCTTCTTTTTTCTATTTTATTTAATTCCTCAATTAGTCCGGTTTCAAATAGGCCGAGATACTGGGCGAACCGGACTATGGAAATTTTAGTTGATATTTATTTAATAAACAAAATATGTGATAAGTTAATGATCTTCCACAATCCACCACTTATTTACTCCTAATTATTATATAAGGATACATACAAATATATGTAATTATATAATTTTAACTGGATTAACCGTTAAGATTGTTTTTTGATCTTGCAATTAGATTAAACCTAAAATATTTGGATTATTTTGCGAGAAAACTAGATGAAAGTAAGAATATATGTAGAAACATAATAAATAAATACATGTAACTATATAATTTCAAATATTTAAGTTACAAATGAAAATCATAACACTATAACTATATAATAAAAATATTGTAACTTTTATAATTATATATACCTCGCATAGTCCGACTTCAATCAGTCCGGATTCACTATAATCTGATTTAAAATCTAAATATTAGTACACAAAATTTATCTTTGTATACATAAATCTCTTTATGTACAGTTACTTTTTATGCGATATGAAAGTCCTCGATTAGTCCGGTTTCAATGGTTGAAACCGATTACCCGGACTATGCGAGGTATTCTGTATAAATAAAATCTTACAATTGGATCAAACGTATTTACAGCTTTAAAAAAGCAAATAATTTTTTGGAAGTAATTCATGAATATTCAAATCCATCCTTAATATTGTCTTATTTATACATAATCTCAAAATAAAAGGTTCTGTGCATATTGGTGTCAGTAGGGCAGAGGCGCTAAAATTCTATTAGTTTTTCCCCAAATCACGTAGCGAAAATACGGAATGCATATTTCATGGGAAGTAGAATATACTTTGTTGACTTGTGGCGGATTTTGAATCATCGCACGTCCTCTATCCTAATGGAAATAAACTTGTATTATTTGCATGTCTGAAGATGACTTTATTAAAAACGTTTAAGATATTTTGGCGTAGGTTCAAAGCAAATTACTAACTTGTTTACGATTTTTGTGTCTCTCTTGTACATTTTGACCAATTATTCTATAAATAATACGAATGGCATTCCGGAGAACAATGGGCTTGCATTTCTGCATGTGAAAATATGCGTTTTAACTCTAAATGTAATCTTCGCGTTTGCTTCAATATAATTCCAAAAACATTATTAAAACCGCATTTATTCAATTATGCAATACATAAATATTTAATTAAATTTAATTATTTAGTAAATTCTTTCAATTCCAGTTTACTTTCTTTTAAATTCGGAAGAAAGCGTAACGTGTTGCTATAGTAACACTCTAAACTTTTGTTTTTCGTGATGCTCAGTGGAATAAATGATAGCAACGCCAAGCGTTTCATTTTACGACCTTATTTTTGAATATACCGGAAACTTAGTTAATTGATAAAACAGACGATTAGTAGTTTTTCTCCAGAAATGTAATATTATAGAGAAAAGTATTCAAAAAATCACGTATAATTTTATAATATAATGGCAAACTTATGTATATACTTAAGTTACACGGTATTCGTATAAAACGATAAGCATTACTTTTCGCCGTTGAACAAAATCGTATAACACGGTTTTCAATAGAACGAAATTAATCGTGTTATTCAAAAGTTGACTGTATTTTCTATAATATTATATCTATATCATAATAATTATGGTGTAATAAGAAATATTCTGATTAATCTAATAATTTAATTGAGTCATTTCAGTTTTTTTAACACTTATTATATAATTTATTACATATATTAACTTTTCGTGTTGTATAACAAGTGCGTGCTTCGTAACAAGTTCAATTATTTCTGTTCTGAACATAATTCAATCTTCCATTCAATTTGCCCAAGATAATTACAACTCTTTCACAACTTCCCATTATTTTACCACGCTTCAAGTATGTTTCTTACGAATTCACTGATTTCACTAACAGTTATAAATTATTGTTTTCTCAATAATTAAGACATCTTTATAAAATTTACAAGAAACCCAGTTTATTATAGATTATTTTACATAATCGATATTTTTCTAATCATATAATCACAGTTATTATAATAGTAAAGAAAATTATAAAATGTTTCCATTTCTTGTGGAAAATCCTAATTTCTTAATAATTATGTAATTTTACCAATATTTTCCTAATCTTATAATCACAGTTAATAAAATAGTCAAGAAATATATAATTAACATATTTACAATTTCTCGTGGAAACTCCTTTTATTTTGTTATTATTTCCTATTAATTTTACCGATATTTGGTATTGGTATTATCAAGAAATTTAAACAATATATTTTCTATTTTGCGTGAAAAAATCCATTGTCTTTTCATATTATTTGTATCAATTTGAATAATTACAAAATGTATACAAACATATTTTCCATTTTTTGTAAAATCCAAACTTCTTTTTATTATTTACAACTAATTTTATAGAAAAATTAAGATTATTTACTTTTGTATCAGTTCGTTTTACCGATATTTTCTTAATCATATAATCCAAGTTGTGGTTAATCTAATTTATTTTATCATTTACAGTTAATTTTACAGAAATATTAAAATTAGTTACTTTTATATTATTTACTTTTACAGATATTTTCCTAATCATATAATCATCGTTCTAAATCTATATAAACATGTTTACGGTTTTTCGTGGAAAATCCAAACATGTTTTTACCAATTTTACAAATAAATATTAAGCTTTTTTGCTTTAATATCATTTGCATGCGCATATCAAGTGAATGTACAATTTACTAATATAATATTTATAGAAATTTTCGTTACATTTTCGATTGAAACTAAATGTTTATATATATATATAACTTTTTTTAGTAAATTAAAATTGATTGTATGTATAGAAACAAATACAATAGATTTTTTATTATTGAAATTACTTTTGTGATAATTGTAAAATATTACTGATTTTTTTCTTCCATTCCATTTCGTTACAGAATTTTCTTTTCAAATGTTTTGTATGGGACAATCCGCGCTGCGTTCAAGTTTCTAAATTTCTAGGCAAGTTCGTCAACTGAATCAAAATCGGATGGTATGGACTATCAAAATTCATCCCTTGAATTACCATCCAAATTAATGAGTAATTCCTCTATCTTGGACATTTTCTATAAAATTATAAAAATGCCTCACTAAGCATGTTCAAAAAGTGGTGTTCCACCGACCCTCAAAGAGTTAACTGACATAATCAATAACATTGTCTTGGTCTAATGTTCTTAAAGCTTAATCATCGTGGTGCATTTTGAATACAAAGTTGTCTTCAACAGAACAAATTTATATTTTTGTACGAGATCTGTTCCAATTGTGTTATTTTGTAGTCCCTGAAGTTACGAAACGATATCATGATTGTTACCCTCTTTGTTTATTTGTTTGTCTATCTAACAACCATCGTCTATTTAAAGTGCAAAAGATGACAAAAATGGAACATTTGTTTGTCCTGCTTTGTTAATTTTTATCATGATCTTAATAAACACGAATTAGGTCTTGAAATAATTAGGTTTTAAGTGTAGAAGAAAATAAAATTAGGAATAATGGGATTATCACAAAACGAGGGCTCCCTGTATATTAATACAAGATACGATTCGTTTATAGGCAACTGAAAGTACATGTGTGAATACGATGGTGGTATAGCGGAGTGTTCTGAATATTCGATTGTTAGGCTGACTCAGATGGCGCCCATTTCGCTCGATCACGTGCTCTTGTTTGCATCCATGAAGGCCAAAACGCGCACCAACACATGAAAACAGCGCTGACGTTTTTATCTCGCGCTGACGTCAGGGTCGTGAGGAGGGACCTAGAAAAGAAGAGAGCGAGAGAGAAAGAAACAATAACAACACAACTGGCACGCATGGTGGAATGTGCAGAATAACTTTGTTCAGTGCTCTTTCAGAAACATACGTTGGCGCGCGCGTGCCTACCACAAAATCCTGAATGTTTGAAGCACCGCAAATAGAGAAAGAAGAACATCAATAGCATCCATAGAGTGCTGTAGTACATGTGTTAATAAAACCAAAACAACAACAGCAACTTCGAAGGCACGTTATCTAAAAATAAAGTAGTATATACGAGGAGTGTGTGCGTGTTGTTCTGCGCTCGGACTCGGGAGAGTTGACGTTGCAATTTTCATTAAAATCCTGTACTTGTTTGTGTTTACATCTAAGACGAGGGCTCCGATTGGCGGCCACACGAAATCGACGGTCGACGATTGGTCGTCGCCGCCACTTTTATTGAATGTATATTCATGTGACCTTTAGCTGAAAAACCTGGCGGCCGTGTGATCCGAGGGGGCCCCTCTCCGACAGTAGTCACACTTTTTCCCGACATCTCAGCGCGCGAAGACCTCCTTCGATTGCGACAACCATACGCACGGATAAGAAACAAAGAGTGCGATAGTTCCGGTTTCCGGGATCGACAAGTGCACGAGACTATCAGATGTGATTGTGCTTCTTGCTGCTACTGCCGTGTTGTTAGTTTGTTGTTTACTCTGCATCCTTGTCTCTCCATCGCGCAGCAAGCATCTCTATCGCTACTCCTTCTCTTCCACCTCAACCGCGTCGAGAGCGCGTTGTTGTTGTTGTTTGGCGAGCGTGAGTCACACGATCCTCGCGATAAACAAGCATGGTGGCTTCGATCCGTGCGCGTCTCCCATCATCAAAATAAACAACACGTTCGAAAAAGAAGATTCCTTTCGTGAATCCCGAGGTGACAACCGCAAAACTGAACGTTAGCGGCACGAACAAGTGCTTCGCTCGACCGTAAACAAGAACATTTTCGTAGTGGACAAAGTTCGTTCGCATTATCTATTCCTCGCAACTCAACGGGATAAATAAAACGTATACCAACCAACACACATTCTCGCACACTATTCAAATAAAGAAAACAAGACGCAATCTTTCGGTGAGTGAAATTTTCACATCTCCCAATGTTTACATCAAGTTGTGTAATTCTTCGTCATCCATTCCACGCATGCCTCATGTGCTTCACCTGATCGTTACATAAAACGCACTCTATTTATTTCTTTTTCCATTGCATCCATATCGGCATTGCAGTATGGGTTATATAACTATTCAGCATTTAATGGGAACATCGGACTCCTCGACGCTGTTTGTTAACTTCTATTCCGCTGAGCTCATCATTAATATTGTTGTTATTATTATTAATTTTTCGCTCGCATTCCTCGGTAATTACCAAGTCCGCAATCTTATACGATTTTCATCGCTCGATTAACAATTTCCGTACAGCAGGATTTTGTTGAATACTCCGTTATCTGCCATTGATTACTCAAATATATTTTACTTACAACAAAACACGCTTCATTCGTCAACGTAAACAAATCAATT